TGTAGGAATGTAGTAGAAAGAAGGGTGAAACCTGAGAAACAGCATAAAGATGAGCCTTGCAGACATGAGGTTAAAGAGAATGAAAAGTCAAAACGAGACCAATGTTTACAAGCCAAGCGAATCAGGAGAATAAGATTGCCAGTGACAGAAATAGACACCTAAGGAAGGCATATTGAAGGCCTTATAAGCAGAGCTGGTCTATTTGCAGGTGGAAACACAGCACAAGATTATGCTCCTTGAGGAACCCTACTGAAATAAGTCTATATTTTTTTCTATCACAACGTGTGTGTGTGTGCGCATGTGTGTGCGTACATAGAAAATGTCAAGTTGGGTTGCCAAAAAAATCTAGCAGCTTAACTCAGTGGTGACTAATGCTTCTATGGTATGTATATCAGAGTTGTAATATCTAAATGGCAGGAAAACATTGATTTGTATAATTGTCATGTAAGTCCTGGAGAAATTTTCTTGCTATGATACACATTTTAATGCTTTACAAGGTAAGTATTCAGAACTACATTTGCTTCTTATGTTTGTAAAGAATAAGCAAATGACGTATGGAGCTGAAGATCAGCCTCCAGCTGAAATATAATAGGCACTAAATACACAAATGTCAAATTAACAAATAAATAAACATTGGTGCAGATAATCTACAGAGAACAATGTATTTAAAAGTTGTATGCATTGGATAGGGTAAAAAAAAAAACCAAGGGGCAGGCCTTATAGGCTGAGATGAAAGGGAAGAGGCCATTTACTACTATAAACTTTTATAAATTTGGGGCAACATATAGCTACAAAAATCTTAAAATATAAATGTCCAAGATTAAAAGGAAGGGAAGAAGGGAAGTCATCAGTTATAGGAAATGAGGAAGAAACGAAAAGTCAGAAGAAGTAAGCAGGATTAGGTGACTCACGGGGGTCATGAACTCTCTAATGGATTTTAATGGCCACATGAATTCAACAGATATGCCTTAAGCCTATTCAAGGTGAGGAGCCATAGCTGATCCCACTTCATAAAGCCTAGAGTTTAAAAGGGTTACTACGTCTATGAAAAGGGGATAGAAAAACTTTACTCATAACCCCCAACCTGCACCACTTAGGTGAGGGGGTCCAAATTTACACAAGTGGGGAAGAAACCCTAATCCAAGGAAAAAAAATTGGTGTGGGAAACCCATAGGGCCCTGGTTGAGAACAACATGAAACTACTCTGCTAGGGGCGCTTGCGCCATTCAGGGCACAAAATGAAATAAAAAATGCAAAAATAAAAAATTATAAATCACTCAAGGAACCAAATCACTATGAGAGCCAGTGTATGAACAAAACAAGAACTAGTACTTCGAGAACTGAGAAGAGTAAAACAATCTAAAAGAGAGTATCAAATAATTATGCTGAAAATTATTTTTAAAAAAACACATGAAAGAAAGAACAGTATGTAAAAAGAGCAGGTGGACTTGGAAAGGAACAAAAAGAATTCCTAGAAATAAAAAATACAACCACTGAAATAAACATTGGTTAAACAACAGTTTAGGCACCGAGAGGGATTTAATGGTTGAGTGAGACGGTCCAACCTATGTTTAACAGGAGAGGTTAGAGGGAAGAGGGAAGAGCAATATTCAAAGAGGAAATGGCTGAAGAGTTTTCTAAAATTGAAAGAAATTCCTAGTTTCAAGAACCATAACAAATCCTAAGAGGGATAAAAAAAATACACAATATACACATTGTCTTTGATGTTTTGCAGTTTCAGGAGAAAAAAAATATCTTAAAAGTAGCCAGAGTAAAAGAGATTATCTACCAAGGAATGACAATTATACTGACAGCTAACTTCCTATCAACAATGAAACTCAAAGACAGTGGATTATACATTAAAAGTCCTAAGAGGGCTTCCCTGGTGGTGCAGTGGTTGAGAGTCCTCCTGCCGATGCAGGGGATGTGGGTTCGTGCCCCGGTCCGGGAAGATCCCACATGCCGCGGAGCGGCTGGGCCCGTGAGCCATGGCCGCCGAGCCTGCGTGTCCGGAGCCTGTGCTCCCCAACGGGAGAGGCCACAACAGTGAGAGGCCCGTGTACCACAAAAAGAAGAAGAAAAAAAAAAAGGCCTAAGAAAACAATAAGCACCACAATAGAAATGCATGCTTGATGAATCTATCTTTCATGAATAAAGGTGAAATAAAGTCATTTTCAGACAAGTGGAAAAAGAATTTACTACCAACAAACTGTCATTAAAACAGCTTCTAATACATGTAATTTAGGAGGAAAAAAATTGATCCCAGAGGTGGCTGTGAAGAACAATAGAAGAGGGAATGGTGTGCAAAGAAACTATAAATACGTGGTTAAATCTAAACAAACTATTAATATATAGAATAATATTTTATGGAGTGTATTAAAAATTCATATTATAAAAGATAAAAGTCTGGCCACAACTAGATCTCTGCAATGCATGAGCTATAATAATAAGGTAATAGTAATAATACCAAACGCATAATGCTTATTATAGGTTAGGCATGATATAAGCACTTCTTTATTTATATACATTTATATGTTAAATATGTCTCACATAAATATATATATGTTTTATGTATAAGCATATATCTATATATCTAATTCATATATATGCACACATTACTTATATAAAAGATATATACATATATATACACACACATATATTCTTCTGTTCTACTTAGGCTTATTTAAAAATTCTATGAGCTATGTATTATTATTTTCTTTATTTTACAGACAGGTAAACTGAGGTCAAGAGATGTTAAGTAATTTGTCCAAAGTCACATAGTCATTGACAGATCTGGGATTCAAACTGAAGCAATGTAGCTCATAACCGTTAACAAAGGATCAATGTCCAGAATAAAGAAATAACTCCTGAAAATCAGTGAGGAAAAGAATAGAAGTTAGGCAAAAAATATTGAACTGGCCATTCACAGAAGACATCTGAATGGCCTGTAAACATACAAAAATGTGCAACATCATTATCAATTTTGGAAAGACAAATTAAAACACATTGGTCAGATTAGCAAAAAAAAAATCTACTAAAACCTGGTGTTGGGAGAACGTGAAGAATTACAACGCCTATAATGTGGAAATTCATGCTGGAAGCACTACTCTGGAGAGCAGCTGGATGATACCTGGTAGAGCTGAAGATATGCAGCCTGTGATCCCGCCACTCCACACCTGGGCTGCAACCTTGGGGGACTGTGCATGCATACTTAGTATAGGCAAGGTGCTCATCACAGCCTGGGCCACACTGGAGAAAACATGGAAACATTAGTTCTTAGGAGGATGGATCAACAAACTGTGGTATATTCATTTAACAGGATTCTATTCTACATTAAAATGGGTGAATTAATGTATAATCAGGGATAAATCTAGAAAAGACAATACTGAGTGTAAAAAGTTGTGTGAAGATAGGGAGAGTATGATATATGGTATATGCAACTATAACAATACTATATAGTTGACCCTTGAACAACATGGGTTTGAACTGTGAGGGTCCACTTATACATGGAGTTTTTCAACAGTAAATACTACAGCACTACATGACCTGCAGTTGGTTGAATCTGAGGATGGCAAATTGTGGATACAGAGGAACCATGTAAGTTATATGCAGATTTTGGATTGTTTGACTGCACGATGGTCGTGACCCCAACCCCTGCATTGTTCAAGGGTCAACTGTGTTTAGAGAGACACATGTATAGTACAAATGTAAGACAGTGTGGGAAGGATTCACACCAACTGCAGCTTAATGGGGAAAAGAGTGAGTATATTGGGTTTGGAGAGGAGCACAAAAAGGGGCTGCCACTGCATCTTTAATTTTTAATTTTTTAAAAAAAATCTGGCAGAATGTTAACATTTGTTAGATCTGAGTGTGGGGACGTGATGTTTTATTAAGTTAATCTCTGAAATTTTTCTCTATATTTGAAATGTTTCATTAAAAATAAACTACTCAAAACTAACACAACATTGTAAAGCAATTATTCTCAAAGATGCTAAAAAAATAAACTGCTCATTTAGTTTTGAATTTTAAAATGACATCTTGTTACACATCTGCAAAACAGTATTAAAAGCCCTTGCCTACTGAGACATCTATAAGGATAAATCCTAAAGCATTGTTTCTAGAGTAAGAATATTCTCCTAACACAATTTTAATGCCTCAGAAACACTTTGTGTTCTTTAATCTGCGGTCGCACCTGATGTCTGAGAGTCAAAAACCTCCAGAAGGCTTCAGAAGCAGTGGTTGTAAGATGTAATCCTATTGGCACCATGGTTCCTCTGGCATCACATTATCTGGCTTACTATATGCCAGGCACTGTGTAAGTGCTTTACACATCTTAATTCATTTATTCTTCCCTAGAACCCTATCAGAGAGATAGATAGGTTTATTATTTCCATTTTATAAATTATTTTCACTTGATAATTGAGGCATGGGCAGATTAAGTAACCTGCCCAAGGAAACACAACTATTGAACAGTAAACTCAAACCCAGGTAGGCTGGCTCCAAAGCACAGTTCTTAACCACTCACTGGACTAAAGGCTGTGTGTGGTCTGGGTGAATTGATCTTGTACCCTCCCCTGTGAAAACTCTCCTTAGTCTTCCACCCAGCTACCTTCTTCTTCCATCCATCACCCATGACATTCTCTCCTACTTTCTCATAATCTCCTCTCTTCTTCCATTAAGCATAGAAAATGCGGGGAAAAAGGGCCAAATTAATGGTTTTGGAGGGGAATACTTAAGATCTGAAGTTGTCTATCGGTGGCCAATGAAATGTCATACTTAGTTCATTTCTAGGTGGCCTTGATGGTGGTATAACGTTCATTTGGTGGAATATCTGTGTGATCATGCAGCCATTGGCTATACATTGTTTTGTACTGAAAAATAATGCTAGAAGTTAGTTACATTTGGTGTCAACAACACATATCTTTTGAAGGTGTATGTATTAGCAATTTTCCTAAGCACCAGTTTAAGAGACAGTGTAACAAAGAGAGTAGTTTACATTTATATTTTAAACTTGTGGTTTTAATTCATTGCCTAATGTTCAAAAAATGAACTGAAGCCTGGCTGATTATATAACTTTAATATCTGAAAAAAATTTATCCAGAAATTAACAACGTAATACAATACACATTTGTACAAAAAAGAGGGACTGTTAAAACTTCTGATCATACAGACAAAAATATGATTAATTAAGGAAAGATTAAAAAAGGACAGGACATTTTGTAAATACTGATAAATACTGTGCAATGCTTTAATTTACTGTGGCAGATACAAAAATCAAGAATTCATTAACAGATTATATATAAAAAAAAGCAACTATATGAATTTTCTAGCTGTTTAAATTAACGAAATGTAACAGTAGTGGTTCTTTTAAAAAATGAGGTATTAATTACACTGTAAACCAAAACCAGAGCATAAATAAATAAAGGCAATGTGCAATTTAGTGATAAATGATTATAAATTTCAACAACAGACAACAAAAATTTTCCAGTTATTTATGGACTCTGTCATTTAAAAATTTGGCTTGTGTACTTTTATTTAAAAATGACATAGCTATTGATATACAAAGCACATCATTAAACATGCAGACCAAACCAACACAATTTTTCCGTCTCTACCAAATAAAAACTTTGTTTACATTTTATTTAAAACACTTAAATCTGGTTTCTTACACATGATTCTTTTGTGCTTATTAGTTAGTAGTAACCTATGTTAAAATCTTACTTTCTAGTTCAAGCAGTATAAGAGAGAAGCAGTTTTATTTGCATATGGATTAAAAACAGAGCAAACAAAACAAAACCAACATGCCTTTAAATCTTAGGTGTTCCAAAAATTGTAAGAAAAATCCTTTAAATAGTATGTCCAAGTGGAAAAGCGGAGTCACTTCTGTCTCAAGAGAACAGTAAACTAACTAACTCCTTTTCCTCTAAGATTCACAAGTTGGCTTCAGAAAAAAAGCAGAACAAGCTGATTAGTTCCTCCACCCTAAAAGAATTCTGCTGGTGGGGTGTAGGAAGCATAGTAATAAGATAGTAGTGTAACTCAGAAAAAATTTTGGGAAAGTATTATTTGCATGTGAACCATGTGCTGGTACTAAGTGCTGGCTTCATTATTATTGCAAATATATATTCAGAGTTTTCTGAAGGAAAGCTATCAAAGTATAATAGAGAATTCTTGATTTGGAAATATCTATAACATGCTAATAAAACTGCTTCATTTGCTGTAAATTAAAAAGAAAACCATTTACTGTCTGACTTAAAAAATGCAGTTTCCTTTTACATGCTACTTTATTAAGAAACTCCAAAAAGGGTACTTTTGAATTTGCTATATTCAGAATCCAGTGGAAAACAAACATTTCGGCCAAAATGTTGAACTTTATTTTTACACCAAGCTACGTCATTTGGACACAAATATTATTGTATTCACTTCTGTCAAATATCTTATCCTACTTTTTTCCAAAAATTAGTGTTTCAGTACAACTGGTGATCAAAAAGTATTAGAAATAAGTCTTGTACATCAATCAAAGTATATATAAAAACAGTTCTCTTTTTTTGTGCTTGTGATTGACTTAATTTATCAGTGATTAGTCAGTTCTACTTCCTTTCTATATAATATTCTGACCCTTAAGAAGAAATGATTATACAAATATTACAGAGTGCTCCAAGTAACTAGCTTACTGCGCATATGCATGCAGACTAACAATATGTAAAAGAATATAACCTTGAATCCAATTAGTCTGAAAATAGTTACACTCTTGTACAATCATCTTTATTGATTTGTAAAAGCTGTATACACATCTAAAACCCTGAATTTACTTTGTAAAAATAAATCTTTAGCAATAAATGGCACTATCAAAATCCCATTATTCTCAGGCTATTATGTAGTTATTTACACGCTTTTCAGCAATGGTTGAAAAGAATCTTAGAGGACCAAAGCCAGTATATCAAAAAACCCTGTAAATTGCATTTGCAATTATACTGTTGTTTAACCGCTATATGAAAATATGGCTACATGCCTTACATTAATGATAATGTAGCTATCTGTGTTGCTACCGTGTGCTAGCAGCGCACAAGGTGCCACTGGGCTCCACTCTGTCATCTGTGCATTCTTTACTGCACGATGCTTTCCCAGTGGAACACCTGTGACAACTACTTATGGAGAATGATAAAGTGCTATAAAAAAGAGGGACTGGACCCACACCTGTCTCTGCCATCTGGTCTTTTTCTCACTCAAGCAGTGTTGTGTTTTTAGAAAACCATGCCTCTACTGAACATACTTCATATTTGATTTAAAAAAAATCAGTATTTTAAAGTTGGTGAGCTTTGTCAAGGTGTTTTGAGACAGAAACATGAAAAGGTTAAAGGCACAGTAAGAGGGAAGTGAATGCTACATATAAAATATATTTCAAGTCTTCTAGGTTACTCAAGTCCAAAACCTTCTGAATTTGAAATTCCAATAATCAGTTTCTGTTTCAGGTCCTTTTTGCTCTTGTAGGGGGGAAGGCAAAGTTGATTGAAGCAGGTGTGGGCCACAGGCAACCTAGAGAAAAAAAGTTTTTTAAAGATACCAAGTCCTAAAACAAACACAGAATGACTGGTAAGCAACTTTCAAAGTACCTGGATACACACATTCAAATCTATTTTACTATAATGAGATGACTCATCCACTCCTTTACTGAACAAATACTTTTGGAGTACCTGCTGTGTATTAGGCACCATTCTAGACACTGGGGCTGGGTTTACCAACAAGACAATGTCCCTGCTCTCACAAAACTCATATTCTAGAGGCATTATTTTTGGAGTCAGACAAATCTGAATTTGAATACCATCTCCTGCACTTTCTGGCTGTGAGACCTTGTTCAAGCGGCTTCATGTCTCCAAATCTCAGTTGCCTCATCACCATCATAAGGCAAACTATTTGAATGGGTGGGAAGATGAAAAGAGCTGTCTACATAAAACACCCAGCAGAATAGTAGATAATATAACTGTTACTACTTTTTTAGTCTTGACTGTCAAAAAATAATAAAAAGAACATTTCTGGGACACTTGATACCCATGCTCCTCATGTTGCTGCCCTCAAGGTACAAGCAACATTCATCCTCTGAATCTTTTTGTTCAGCTCTCCCAACCCTCTACCCGATGACACTGTTATCTTTATTCAAAATTCCTACAGATTTCTTAGACCCTTTCCCTCAGTCTTTAGGAACTCCACAGCATCAGAACAGCTGTCGGTGGCGGTGAGAAAGGAAAGGACAGATTTCAGTTCTAATTTATGAAAGGAAGAACTGACAAAGCTCAGGGAATATATGGGGCAGGAGAAAAAAATGATTATAATCAAAGTAGTGTCTACTCAAATTAGCTTTAGAAATTACAAGGAGATTGGGAAAAGAAGTAAGTAGATTAGCATTAACCCATCAACACTATAGAAAATAATTTAAAGCCATCATAGGCATCACTTTCATATGCAAAGAGCACTAGATAAAGAAAAAAAGACTAGCACTAGCGGTATTCCAGCACAAGAACTAATTATAACAGCCAAAAACTCACCTTAGTATTTTAAATAAAAAACACCTTTAAGTAAAAATGAAGGTTAGATAATCTATGAAAAGCAAGCTAGGTTCTGGAAGCAACTACAAAGCAGTTGACTTATCAAAGTAAAAAGTTGATGCACAGGAATTATTATCAGTTCGTACTGGTAGTTCTCAAAATTCATACAGAACCTTAAGCCATAGTCTCTCTTATTTCAAAGCCATGCTTACTCCCAAGAGTTTTCTATGAAAACCACTTCAGAATCAAAGAAACCTCTAATTCCAAACATATTATTATTAGCCAAACCTACAGATTAAAAAAATTACAATTTGGAAATTTACCAGTTAGTAGAAGTTTCATTCTTTGAGATTTTAAAGTTCAAATCAGCCATTCCTCCTACAGGTACTCTGTCACTTCCTGTGGTAAAATGTAGCAACTTTTTTTGAAGATCAAGAGGAAATCCAAGCACAACATCCCAAAAGTATCTAGAGAACACCAAAGGATATTTATATAAAATGTCTTGACAAAAATCCTGCAGATCAGAATAAAGTAATATAAAGTAAGCTCTAGGGAAACAACTTCCCTTAAAGGTACATAATACCCTTAATGTGAAATTGAGGAATGACAGGCTTCTGATATAAATTAGATTTTTGACTAACATCATTATAAAAATAGTCCAACAGTAGAGAGTACAAAAGCCATTTTTCTCCTATATAATTTTCCTTATTTTTCAACACAGTGCTATTAAAAGGCTATTTATAAGCATGGCATCCCTGCAATTCTAGAACCAAAGTAATTAAAAAAAAAAAAGTCAAATCTCTATGCTTTTGTAGAAACTTACTTATATTACTTTCTCCTAAGGGGACTGCTAAGTGATTTCATATTTAATATTCTCACATTATTTTCAAGAGATAAAATAAAGCAGTGTGGGCTGTACAGTATTTCAGCTGACTTAACTTGATTCAAAGATTGTAAGTTATGCAAATAAACGAACCACACTCTCTTTCATTCTCTCTTCAGCACCCTCACTCTCAGAAGTAAAAAAAGCTCACCGTATAGTCAGGTCGGTCTTCGCATAGCCATCATACTGAGTACTTCTCTGCAGGGCGTGCATATCCAGTTCAGGACTTCCACACACCAGAATTTCAACCTCTTCTGGACGAAGCAGCTGCCAATGATTATTTATCAAAAATGATAAGAAAAAGTGATGATTAAAAAAAGTGAAATTGGAACTATTTTCACTGAACCAAAGAACAAAAATCATGACGTTCTTATAGTAAATCAAACCATTTTTGCTAAAGAAAAATCTCCATTCATATTTTTCCTACTAAGGTAAGGTATTTTTGCTTCTGAAAGTTTATAAATCTTGTCAAACTGTTAGGTTCCCCCTTTTGCAAATAATAGCAATTAGCAGTTTGCTAGAAAAACAAGCAGATGACTAAGCATAAGTCCAAATTACAACTCTTCCCTGAAACCCAGCCTGAAACTCTTTCAGCTATCAATACGCTAGCATCTATTGACATGCCTGGTTCCAACATCCATAAAGCCTCCTGTGTACACTGTAGAGTTTGAGTAGTAGGTTAGTCTGTCTTGTGTTGTTCACTCGTTTTTTTTACACTTATATAGGTTGTCTCCCACCTAAAGAGATTACAATTTAAAAACAGAGACCTGCTATGCTATTTATTTATTTTCCCTCCCTCCACCCCCATAACTATAGTGCGTCACAGACAAAACTCAATTCGAAATCAACAGGTGCTCCATTTCCAAAGGTACTTTCAATAAACATGTGACAAAGATCACTCTAAAACAAGCTCTCTCCTATGCAAAATAATTCACATTGAAGACCTTGCTCCCAACCCCCCTTATAAAACTGCATGGAGGTGCAAATGGCTTGATGGAGTGTGCCCAGGGGAGCAGCGGTGAAGAGAAACCACGCTTTTATCTTATGACATTTCCGACATAGTGTTCTCAACAGCAACTGACCCATACTCACAAGGCTAAGAAAAAGTCAAACCAACTGGAGTCCACCATGACTCTGGTGACAAACTACATCCTGTGGGTAAAAGGCAACTCAAGAGTTGCTGGGGGGACCCCTGAAGAGGCAGGAAGCAGTTATAAACCTGTTCCTTAAACAGTAAGAAGGTGTGCCTTTTGCCCTGGAGCTTATTGTTGACTAGTTTCTGTGCTTTGCCCCACAGTATTAAAGACCTGGAGCCCTTGGGATCTCTTCATCCACTCTGCTTGAGGAAATTTTTTAAAGCCTTAAAAGCCATAGTATAAGACATAGTGTAAGGTGGAGTGGGGTGGGGAGGGAATGGAGTTGACGGGTCTTTTATCCCTTTAGAAAATTAAGGCTGAAATGAGAGAACTATTTTTATTTCTAGCTCTGACTTTAAAAACTAGAAAACTGACTAGGGACTCTGTTGTGAAGCGCCTGGCGCAAGTCCTCCCCACGCAGCACCCTATGAGCAAGTGAAACAAGACTAAGCACAAAGGAAAAGAAAAGAAGAAAAGAGTCTTCACAGGCTGGTAGCCGAAGAGGAAGCCAGAGAGTTTCCAAGTACATGTTGCTGCTGGCTTTGAAATGGAGGGGAGCATGTGAGAGAATCGGAGAGAGCTGGGAGTCACCCCATCCAAGTCTTCAAGGAAATGGGAATTTTAGTCCACAACCACAAGGGACTGAATTCTGCCATCAATCTAAATGAGCTTGGAGGTTTGTATCCAGGCTGTGAGGGAAGAGGACAATACAAGTTGATGATCAATGATTTGTCTATAGACTTCAAGCCATATCTGTGGAACTCTTTATATATATATATATATATATATATATA